AACCCACACTGGTGAGAGACCTTTTTCATGTGAAACATGTGGAAAAAGTTTCTGTCGAATTAGTGATTTGAAAGTCCACAAGAAAATTCATACAGATCAAAGACCTTTTTCATGCAAATCATGTGGAAAAAATTTCTCTCGAATTAGTAATTTAAATATCCACAACAGAATTCATACAGGTGAGAGACCATTTTCATGTGAATTATGCGGGAAACGTTTCACGCGAAATAAAAATTTAAATGACCATAAGAGAATTCATACAGGTGAGAGACAATTTTCATGCAAGTCATGCGGAAAAAGTTTCTCTCGATTTAGTAAGTTAAATGTCCACAAGAGAATTCATACAGGTGAGAGGCCTTTTTCTTGCGAATCATGCGGAAAAAGTTTCCGTGGAATTAGTCACTTAAATATCCACAAGAGAATTCATACAGGTGAGAAAAGTTTTTCATGCGAATCATGCGGAAAAAGTTTCTCACGAAATACAGATTTAAATGTCCACAGGAGAATTCATACAGGTGAGAGGCCTTTTCCATGCAAAGCATGTGGAAAACGTTTCTCACGAGTGGGTAATTTATATCGTCACATGAAAACTCATACAGGTCAGGGGCCACTTTGAAGTCAAACAAGAAATAATTTTAAGAATCCGTTTTATGTATTATTTGAGTCTGGAGGATCTTTTATTTTGATCAGATGTCTTTGGAAAGTTTATTTGTGAAGGGCTCTCGTTTGGCTCGAGAGCCTTGCCAGCCCTGTTGCCACCCCAGCTAGCAATAGTGAATTCAATAAATAGTTATGGCAAATCGGACATTAAGCGCATAAAACTCTTTTTCCCCGACAACATTGAATGCAACACAATGTAACCTGACACCCACTGCTAAGTAGCGGGAAGTGCGAGAGAAGAACAGAGCGCCAGCAGCACTGATGGATATATATATGTTACTGGACTGGACATTATGTGATTTATCGTAAGTCACACACGCGCCATTTCTGTCCATTGAGTCAGGAATATCGGTGGTCAGGAAAATACTACAATCACGCAAAGAAAAAGAACAGCGGACGCAATGTTTAGCAGTTAATTCAACCATAGATAATGGTAATAAGGGCCTGAGATTTCATAGATGAGGAAAACGTTTTAATTTAAAGAAAAGATTGAACAAGTGAGCAGTGGGTCAGTTATACTAGCTTAACTGTTAGCCTGTTATTGACTTTGATAAACTTAATATGTGCTGCGCAGTTCGGTGTGTTTTGGTTCCGTTAGCACTAAACAACCCGCCCACCAAGTCATCAGTAGAGCAGCTGTTTAAATCAGCTAATCAACCACCGCGGTGTTCAGGCGAAAACTTAATAATAATCACAATATAGACATTAAGCCTGACAGCATAATTTAACAGACTGGATGTTCTGTTCAGGTGAGGCAGAGCCTAAAT